AATAAAACGAATTATTTTATTGAGAGTTTGTTTTAAATTCGATCATATTTAAAGTTTGATTATTAATATAAATTTATGAGGAAAAATAAATAAAATTAAAAAAAATTGATTTTCTTTTTTAATTATAAATATTTTCTTTTTTTATCATTTAGAAATAATAGTTTCTACGAAATTTTCTTGACAAAAATCTTTGTTTATTTGTCAACTGATTATGAAAATTAGGAGAAAATAAAAACAATCGTGTTAATATAAATATTTCATGCTCTTATCAAATCTATGATGATAATTTTCAATAAATTTTTCAAAGTACACAAAATAAAGTTTAGAGAAAAAGCAGATGCCGCCTAAACATATCTAGAAGAAAAACAGAAAATCTAATTGTATTAAATTAAAAAATAATTCAAATCAACTCTATTACTCATATATAGAATAATATATCATTCACAGCAATAATACGATTATTTAATAGATTATATTAATAGGTTTAAAGAGCGAAACAGTTTTTGAAAAAGTTATTTAATCAAAAAATCTTATTTCTTTATTTAAATCAAATTTTTCGTTTCGATTAACTTTTCTCTCGACTAAAATTCGTTGAAAGTTTGTTTTCGTGCCTTTCAAACATTAAATCATAACTTCTAAACAATGAATCTTATACAAATTATCAATAAATATGTAAAAAGACGATTCAGGATTCAGTTCTTATTTTAATAGAATATTTAACATTGTTTTGTTAACTTCGATTATTGTTCGAAAAATAAACAAATATATATTATTAATATGATGAATAATTTCATATCTATATGAAAAAGTTAATTTAAATAATTATTTATTTATTTATTTTTCATCTAAATAATAAAGAAATGTTTTAGAACTATTTAAATAAAACATAGTCGAGATTTTCATTTTCACTTGAACAACTCAAATAATGATAAGGAGAAAAATTGACTTATTTAATACACAAAACAAACCTGGTCAATTATACAATGAGATAAATTAAGAAAATATTTCGATAATTTATATTTTCTAAATAAATTAGGAAAATTTTACGAAGCTTTTTCTTTTATTGATACAAGAGAAATATTTATTTATTTAAATAAAATAAATAAAAATCTTCTACAATAGACAATTATTTTACAAATTTATTAAATTTATATCAATATGTTATTGTTATTGTCATTGTCATTGTCATTGTCATACATCAACAGATTGTCTATATATTCAATATATATGTATTAGAAGAATTTTTTTATTCTTTATTTTAAATTTATAAAACTTCTTAGTTTTCTTTGCCGTTTTTTCAAAATAATTAAACAATTAAGGAAATCATTTTCTACATCTTAGTGATTAACTATGTTAAATATAATGATAGATGATTTACTGTCTAATAAAGAAAAATTGTTAAGTCTAATTAACTGTTTTCAATAAACTGTTAGTTAGTTTGTAAAAATTAATGAATATATAACGATGGTATATCAATCATTTTTCCACTATAGAATATCGTTGATAACTTTATTCAATCTTAAATAAAGATAAATATTTTGAAACTGTTTGGCAAATTTTCATATAAATTGATAGAAGCTTTATTCATAGAAAAGATTTACATAAAAAACATAAATAAATGTTTAAACAATATTATTTATAATGCTGATTGACATTATTGAACTATTTTTTTTTTTTAGATTCTTTTTAAAAAGTTTATCTTTTAATTTTTGTCAAATATATTATTCATCAATAGTTAATATTCTATTCATTTGTTTTATCATATTTTAATGTTAATGAATATAATAAATAAGAGAGTTTTGGCAAATATAATCAACATGAAATTTAAATATATATCATTTAGAAATTAATATATGATTTAAACTAGATTAATTTACAAAAAAAAAAAACAAAAAACAAAAAGGAAAAAACATAGTTCAATTCGATAAATATATTATATTAATAAGAAAGAAATAGTTAACCCTTTTATTAATGTTTATTATATTATATTTTTTTGTTTTAAATTTATCTAAAAACTGTTAAGAGATATTCAATGAGAAAAAAAATGTTTTATCAATTCTAAAAATTAACATTAACTCTGTTGACATATATAGATGTTATCTTAGAATATTAATATTAATATTATTATACTATGTTATTATATAAGTCTACTATTTATCGTCCTAAACTCAATTCTTTCTCTTTATATATATAAATTGATTTATTAAAATATAATTATATTAATAAAATATTTTTGTTAAAGGTTTACAAAATACAGGTGTAGCTATATTCTTTCTTCGTCTATCTCTACCTGAACCTGATCGTGATTTGGCTATAGTTGTACCAATATTTGTATGTTTCCTTTTTTTTTCTTTTTAATAAATAAATATTTCTATAGAATTTTATGTTTTATATAATGTTTAGGTAGCAATAGCAATTCCAATACCTCTTATTATAATCCATGGTTGTATTGTTATTTATAGATTTATTAAAAAACGATATGAAAAAAATGATTTAATAACAAATATTAATAACGATCGGGATAGATCAGAATATGAAGTTATAGACAATAATGACAATGATCAATAAAAAACAAATATTTTCCTTGTTTTCATTTATTGTAAATTATTTAGACAAAAAACAAAAAAAAATAAAAAAGAACAAAAAGAATCTTTTCCTGTTTGTTTGTTTTTATCTTTTATCTTTTAGATGGTTTTTGAATAAAAGACTAAATGAATAAATTAATTCTATATTGTTTAATTCTATTGTTAAATAGTTATGTTAATCTAGCTTGTTATATTCAATTTGAAAAAGTTGATAAATTAAATATATATCGTGATGTATATGAACAAAATATATTTAATATAACTGGTCAACTTAAATATTGTCCTTCATCAATAATTATACGAAATATATCATTATCAAATCCATTAATTAAACATTTAAGTATTTTAAATCTATCATTTTTTATTGAAACAAATAATATTAATATAAGAGGACTTGCGAAATTAATTGGTTTTGCACCAATAACAATTCAACTTTATTTTCAAGATCAAATAGATCATAGGTAATTGATTTTTGTTTTTTATTTTTCATTTCTAATATAATTAATATATGAAAAATAAAAAAAAACTCTACTAGATCAATTAAATATTCAATAAAAAATGTTACAAATCAAGAAAAACAATGTTTTAAATCATCATCAAATCGTAATGAAATTCTTGAAAATTGTCGAATGCTTAAATTTGAAAATGGTTATTATATATTAAGACAAACAATAGATATAGCTGTAAAAAGACATCAAACAATAATTGATATATTATTTACTTCAGTTGTTATGTTTATTGTTACAGTTGGAACATTATCTATTGGATGTGGATTAGATATAGAACAATTAATTAAGAATGTTCGAAGACCAATCCCATTAATTATTGGTCTTATTTGTCAAATTATTTATTTACCATTATTATCATTTGCTATTAAAAAAATATTTCAATTAGATAATTCAAAAAGTTTAGGTTTACTTTCAACAGCATCTAGTCCTGGTAAGATTATTATATTCATTATTGAATTTTATCAACTTATTATTCTATTTAATTAAATATATATATATATATATCATAATCACTTAGAAACATTTTTTTAAGAAACAATAAAATAATAAAATAATATTAAATATTTATCATATATTAAACTTAATTCGAATAGAAAAAGTTCTATTTAAAATGAAAGAACTTTTTTCTTTCCAAAAGATTTGACATAGATTTGACATATATATAGATAGATAGTTAACAAGATTAGTTTTTCTACATTAGATATATAATCATTATTAGACATTATTGGAATATAATATATTTAACATAAATCTATCAAATAATTTTATATCAATTATATAACATCAATAAAACAAAACAAAACAAAACAAAACAAAACAAAAACAAATCTATTTTAACTATTTTAACTTTCATTTTCAACTCAAAGATCAATATTAATAGAAAATTATTGATCGAACGATAAATATTTTATTTTTTTGTTCGACTATTTTAATATCAATATTAATTTGAATTTTTTCTTTAAAAAAATCAGAATTTTTTCTTTAAAAAAATCAGAATTTTTCAACACATTATATACATAAAATAAACAAAATATTTGTTAATTAAGATAAAATAGTGAATTATCAACAGAGAGAATATATATGATAGATAATGAAGATCCGGGAAAATATCTTGATCTTATTAATATTTAACGAAGAAAAACTCTATGAAATTTGTTGTGAATTTTATTTAAAACAACAATTGATTATTCTCATGTTGAATTGATCATGTTAATGAGAATAAATCTCATAAGATATTTGATTTATTTTTGTAGTATTAAAAAATGAAATAGTATATTCTCTTTATCATCTTTATAAGTTGTTTGAGAATATTTATCAAAATGATATTCATGGTTATTATATAACTGTTATTTCTTGATAAAATAATCTATTTCGTTTGAAGAATATTTATAATTAATTTGTTTTCAATAATATGTTAAATATTTTTATTAAATTAAATTCATCAGTCATGTTAAACGTATATTGATCTTTTTCTTTTTTTAATCTTTTCTCATTAAAATAAATATTTGTCGATTTATCTATGATAAATCTTTAATTGAACATGTGAGAAAAGATTTTTTATATTTCAAAATATATCTTTAGTCATCCTTATTATAATATATTTATTTAATAAAAACAATATTATTATTATTATTATCATTATTCTATTTAATGTTATTAAAACAAAAAATTAAATTTATTTTATTCAATAGAATTTAATCTGAAATATTTCTATATTTAGAATATAGATAAATATTTAAAATAATTTTCATTGATTAATTAGAATAAAAACAACAAATAAATAATATATGATTATAATCATTGAAAAACTTTAGTTTATTTATTTATTTATTTATTTATTTATGATTTATATTTAAAATAATTCTAATATAATAATAAATATTGATTTTAAATAAAATGACATTGAATATAAATCAAATATTAATATATTTATTTAGAATATAGTTAATAATAATAATAAAAACAAAAATAAAATAATATGTTGAAATAATTAATTTAGGTGGTGGTTCATCAAATATCTATACAGCATTACTTGCTGGTGATGTTGATTTATCAGTAACATTAACATTTATGTCAACAACATTAGCATTTGCTACATTTCCATATTGGATATGGCTTCTTGGAAAAAGTTCTATAGATTTTAAAAGAGTTAAATTTCCATGGTGGAATATGTTTATTTCTTTAATATCATTATTTATACCAGCATTAACTGGACTTTTACTTCGACGTTATCGACCAGTTTTAGCTCATCGTATTGAAAGATTTCTTAATCCTATTGCTGTTGGTAAATATTATTTATTTTCATTTAGTTTTATTTTTTAAATTATTAAAGTTACTTAAAAAGAAATAATTTTTTTGTTTTCATTCAGGTTATATCGTATTTATTCTTACATTTGGAGGTAAATGATGAAAATGGTTTAATAAATTAAAAAGAAAAAAACTTTATTGAATTGTTTTATGTATTTCTAGTTTATATAAATATGTATATATTTACTATAATCGATTTAAAATCCATAATGACTTGTTGTTTTTTACCATGGTTTGGTTTTATAGGTGGTTCAATTGTATCATTTATTGTTGTAAGAGATAAAAAGAAAATCATAGCTATTTGTATTGAAACAGGTGTTCAAAATACAGGTGTAGCTATTGTTTTTCTTCGTTTAACATTTCCTCAACCTGAATCTGATGTAGCATTAGCAAATCCAATACTTGTTTCAATGGCAATACCAATACCATTTATTATTTTACTTTTAACAAGATCAATTATGAAGAAATTTGTTTGTTGTCAAAAATTTTTACCAATAAAAAATGAAAATATTAATAAAAACGATAAACCAGAAAAAAATCTTATTAAACAATTATTAAATGAAACAAATAACGAAGAAAAACAACAACAGGAACAACAGAAACAAATTGGTCAGATAGATAAAATTTCTTCATAAATAATCACTCGGACACTTTCGTTTTTTTTTTCGTTTTTTTTTATACCTAATTCTTGTATTTTCAATGTATAATAAATGTGGAAACCTCGGATTTAAATCCGAGAGTTATGTGTACTTCAAAAAGTGAATTAAACAGATGAGTCATCCTAGAATGTGTGAACATCAAAATTATACTGGGGAACCTACCATTCAAAATGTTGATTTCTATTGCGTATTGCCAAACCAATAGGACTTGGGACCGAATACAGCTCAAATTTGAACTCTTTCCATTGATTTACCCTAAGAAAGTCATTTTTCCTATAACTTGATTTCTATTGGTTACTGCTTAACCAATAGTATTTCGATGGAAATGGAGTGCAGATTCGAGTTCTTCACCCCAGAAAACCTCGAAGCATCATCACTGTGATCGGAAGATAGAGCTCTAAACGTGGATCAATTAGACCGCGGACTAAAACATAACCTAGTTCTCTTTACTTATCTTTGTGATAGGTAAGTCAACCTTCTTGTTTCTTTATGTTTTATATACCATTTTGTAGCTCTTGAAATTCTCTATCGAATGGTATATAATAGTTGGGGTTTTATTTGACTATGATAGGAAAAGTTGTTCACGAAAGCGGGAAGAGGTCGATTTTCGCATAGGAAGGCATACGGGAAAATTACTATTTTTGCAATGACTCAGGAACGGCTCGGCCAATCATTCTCATCTTCGAACTCGACCGAGATATTGTTGAGACTAAACTGTGTAGAAAATTTCATCGCGATCTGACTCTCCTTTCAAAAGTTATCGTGTAAACGGCCGGCCGGACACACTGACCGATTCTAGAGTGTATGAACTTTTTGAGTACACAAAAATAAACTTTACAATATATTGATAAAATGTTCATATTACGGTGAACTTGTAACAAGACCAGGTACACTTCGACCTAATTGTTGAGCAGCTAGTGTACTTTCTAAAGGTTGAAAGCCAATTTATTCAATTGGAATAGGAAATTGTCGTAATTTAGCTTAATATGTTCGTAATATATCATAATGAGCTTTACAAACACGAGTCAATTCATATTGTAAATCACGAATCTATTTTAAAAGAAAAAATTTTTTATTTTAATTTAACTTTTTTTTTCTTCAAAAATAAAATCAATTTTATTAAAAGGTTATTTTAGTCAACAGATTTAAATTTGATAAATAATGAAAAACTCAATAATAATAATCGTAGATATTTATTATCAAAAATGTTTTTATTGAAGATTATTATATCTGTTTAATAAATTATTAGTCTAGTTTATTATATTTACTGCATATCGTTTACTTTATTGAATTAATTAATCTACATATATATTGTCGAATTTCAAACTGAACTTTATTCTATAATAGAAAATTAATCTTAAAAATTTTCGTTTTAACTTTTAATTAATAATTAAATAATAAGTTCGAAGTTTGCCTAGATCAATTTCCTAAACTTGGCATTAATAGAAGAATTTCAAAAATGTTTGATTAAAAAAAGTTCTAAAGAAAATATCTTCTAGTAGAAAATTGATTTATTCAAATTGATAACTGAAAAACTATAAAAATAGATCTTTGATTCGTCAATTTAATGATCAAAACACTAGAAAATGCTCTAAGAATAATCGAAATAAAGATTTGATTAAAAAAAAATTTTTTTTTCTTCAATAAGAATTCTTAAAGATGAAAACATATTGATATTTTCTGAGTAAAAGTATCTATTTTAAAATAATGAAACTTATCAGCTAATAGAATTTTCAATGTCAATTCTGTTTAAGTTACATAGAATGATAAATCAAACGTTTTTCATCTTTCTATGATCCTTTTATAATTGAGATAGATACATCAATTTTACGGGAACAAACAAAAATCATTTTATCTCTTATTTATTCTGAAAAGATTTGTTTTCGTGCTTTATGCAAATATGATTTATCATTATAAAAATTCATCATGGAAAGGTAAATAATGTATTCATTTAATAAAGTATTGTTTATTTTATCATTCTAGTTAATTCAAACATAAGTTAAATTGAAAATTCTATGAATTAAGAAATTTGACTTTTATTTCTAAATTATTTTCTTTGAAAAACAAGAAAACATATTTGTCTTATTAATCCTCTCGTGGCAATATCATCAACTGGTGAGTCACACAATCGAATGATCGAAAAGGTAATTTATCAAAAAAAAAATTTTATATATATGTCATAGTTTGAGCAAAGGAGTCGATTTTTTTAACGATGATAGATGAAAATGTTCATCACTCATATTGATAATAGAAATGTCGATAAAAATTGTGTTGAACTAGTTATACTTGCTAAAAATAAAAAAAAAATGAAACATTTCACAAATAATAATAAATCAATATTCTTGTTGTCCAGAATCTGTTAAAGATTATTCTTTAAAATAAAATTCTCTATTGACAATTTCTATTTCGATTCTTATTAGCGTTAACAACAACGTCAAAATATTGAAAATAAATTTTGTTGAATAGTATTTATTGTAATTGTGTATGTATTCATAAAAAGTATTGTGTGTGTGTGTTTTCTTTTTTTCAATATAATGTCTAGAAACAAAAAAGTCTTACCGATGTATTTTTTGTATCAAGTACTTCTAAAATAAATGAATAAGAATAAAATAAAATAAAATAAAAAACAAAATTACTTGAAGTTTTCTGGTAGCAACAGAAAGTGAAGCTGAAATCAAGATTTGATGCTGAAAAAACTTCATTAATTTGAGCTTCTTTCTTTTTCAAACTATCAGTTAATGTAGTTAATGTTTTTTTCTAATAATAAATTCTTTAAACTACTCTTTTGTTTGCTTCATTAATAGATTTTATAAATTTATTATAAAGATCATCACGTTCTTTGTCAATCTAAAATAATAATAAAAAAATAAAACAAAACAACAAAATAAATAAATAAATAAAACTACTGTAACATACGATTTCAAATCTTTGTAATAAGACTTCATATTCCTATTTAGAATTTTTAAAATCATTTTCATAATTTTTAATTGACTTTTTTACTCTATATATAATAAAATAAAAATAATTGATTGATTTTTTTTTGGTTTTTTTTTTTTTGGAAAAAAAATGTAAACTAAACAAAATACTTCATATGAACTTTTTATTTTTTTCGTAATTTTCTGCTCTTTTTCTTAATTCTTCGATTTCTTTTATTGCAGCTTCAAGTAGTTGACGCATTTTTCTATTTTGATTTTCAAGTTCAATCATACATTTTTCTAAACATTCTTCTTCTTGTTTTTTCTTTTCAATTTCATTCTTAAAAAAAGAAGATCATGAGACAAATAAAGATAATATTAAAAAAGAAACTTTAATATAATATTAATTTTAAGTATATTCATTAAATTAAGATTATTTAAAGTAATATCATTGTAATAATTTTTAATATCATCAAATTCTTTTTCATGATTACGTAGAAGATCATTTATTTGTTGATTTTTTCTTTCTTCAATTTCATGTATTTCAGTTTTACGACATAATTCCAAATCTTCTCGAAGATCAATTCATTTTTTTTCATATTTTTCTTCGATTTTCCGAGATTGACGAATAAAATCGTCACGTAATTTTGATATATATAATTCATTTGTCTATTTATATATATATATTTATTAATATAATATAATAAAATAAATAATTAAGTTAATCAAATCTTTTTTAAATTTCTTATAACTTTTTGATCTGTGATTTTGAACATTAAGTTCATGTTTTTCTTTCCACATTGTATTTTCTGCATCATTATGAGATTCTTGATCAATTTTTAATTCTGCTATTGTTTCAGATTTTAATTCATCTATATTATTTTGTTGTTCATAAAGTAAATATTTTACCTTTTGTTTGTAAACCTATTTTAATATAATTTAATAAAAATAAATTTATTTAATTTATTATTTATCTCAATTTAAATTTAAATTAACTTAAAGTAGCATTATATCTAACTCCACCATGAAGATCGCAATGCTGCGGCTTCTGTGCCGGTCGCAAGTTCGGATAAAGGAGGAGCGTTTGACAGAAGGGGTGCAGATACCGCCGTCGGTAAAAAGAACAAGACGATAGAAGCCAACCATGAACGATTTCAGTGTAAAACCATGCTGGCTCGTATGGCGCCCGGGAAAACAAGGTCCGCGTCCTCTGCCGAGTAACCAAGGCAGAGTCGAAAAATTGGCTACTGGAAAAAACTTATACATAGATAATACGACAAAAAACACACAGAAGCTAAAACTTGCCAAAAACACTTTGACAGTAGGAACATGGAATGTCCAGACATTATGGGCTGCTGGAAGACGAGAACTACTTAAAAACTAAATGAAACGTTTCAGATACGACATAATTGGTATTTCTGAAGTACGTTGGACAGGAAAAGGTGAAACACTGAATGGAGACTTCATCTGGTCAGGAGAAGAAAACTCACATTGGAGAGGTGTAGGCTTGTTACTAAGTACACAAGCTAAAAAGGCATTAATAGGATATAATCCAATTAGCTCACGAATAATCTCGGCAAGATTCGATGCAGCACCATTTAAAATTTCAGTAATACACGTATATGCACCAACCTCGTCATCTTCAGAAGAAGCTATTGAAGCATTCTATAACCATATCGATGACGCATTAGCAAAGACAGATAAAAAGACATAATCATCCTGACAGAAGATTGGAACGCTAAAATTGTCACTGATAATACAGGTTGGAAATCCGCTATGGGAAAATATGAATATGGCGATAGAAACTAACGCGGAGAACGCCTCCTGGAATTTGCAACAGTAAACAATCTCTTCATATGTAATACAAGATTTCAACAGAGATCAAATCGAAAATGGACTTGGGCATCACCAGATGGCATTCATAAGACCATGATTGACTTGATTCTCATCCAGCAAAGATGGAAGACTTCGGTCACCAACTGTCGAACATTTCAGAGCGCAAATATAAGCTCGGATCACTCACTAGTATTGTGCAATATCAAACTGTGACTCAAGAAATTGGATGATAAACCACAGCAAAGCTGCAGAGTTTATGTGAACCGACTGAGAGATGAGAAAATAAGACAATCGTATAGTGCGGCACTAACGAAAAATATGGAAAATATAGAACTGACATGTAATCTGGAAGAGCATGCCACAAAAATAAAAGAAGCAATCAAAAATACAGTAGAGGCAACTGTACCTGCTAGAAGAACAACCAGAAAACCCTGGATTTCCGAAGAGACAATAAAACTAGCAGTCGAAAAACGTAGACTAAAATAGATGAAAAACGTTTCCAATGAATATGCACAACAATACAAAGACTTTAGCAGAAAAGTCAAGAAATCAGCAAGACAGGACAAAGAGCATTGGATACACGGCCAATGCGAGCTAGCAGGAAAAGGTTTGAATATTGGAAAAACTAGACAAGCATACGGCCTAATAAAAATGCTAAGAAAGGAATTTGTACCTCGATTAAATGTGATACGAAACCAAGAGGGCACAATGTTACAGTCAAAGGACAAGATCAAACAAAGATGGACACAGTATTGTAGTAGTCTGTACAAAGATCCTGGAGGAGGGGACGCGATGGTAAAAGAACTTGAAGAGATCACACCTCGCAATGACGAAGATCCCCAGGATATCCTGTACGCTGAGGTGCAAGCAGCGATACAGGCACTAAAAAGAAATAAAAGTCCAGGGTCAGACGGAATCACGGTGGAGATGCTACAAGCTGGAGGCGAACAGCTAGCACGCCAAATTCACAAGCTCTGTAACAAAGCATGGCATGAAAGTACGATTCCAGAAGAATGGGACAAATCTATTCTAGTACCAATACCGAAAAAAGGAGATCTCAGTAACTGCTCGAACTACCGAACGATCTCTCTTATCAATCATACAGGAAAAATACTCCTAATAGTGCTGCCAAATAGACTTAAAAATCATATAGATCCCTACCTCCCAGAAGAGCAGGCGGGATTCAGAAAAGATAGAAGTACTGTACATCAAATTCTGATGCTCAGACTATTGGCTGAGAAGGCAAAAAGACAGGGAAAGAAAATATACAACTGTTGCATAGACTTCCAAAAAGCATTCGACACGATCAAACATAAAATTATATGGGCTATGCTAAAATCATATGGTGTAGAAATAAAAATGGTCACATTGCTACAGAAGATCTACGAAAAAGCACAGTCAGCTGTTCGAATCGGAAATGATAACGGCGAGTGGTTTCAAACAGACGTAGGAACTAGACAAGGCGATTCTCTGTCAGCACTCCTCTTCATTGCATATCTTGAACGAGTAATGGACCAGGTGAGACAGAACACCTGAGGAACCAACATCGGTGGAATATTTATAAATAACCTACGATTCGCTGATGATATTGATCTTATAGATGAAGATGTTAGCTCACTTTAACGCCAAATCGAGCTAACCAAGACAGCTGCTGAACAAGCAGGTCTTATCTTGAATATAAATAAAACCAAAACTATCGTATTCGGAGACAGGAGCATTGAAAGTAGAATGCAAGTAACAGGAGAGATCATAGAAAATGTAGTAAAATTTGAATATCTAGGCAGTTTACTGACATGGGATAACACCTGCTCAGAGGAAATTAAAAGGAGAATAGGAAAAGCAACAGGTGCAATGGCCTCATTGAAACATATAAGGAATAGCAAGAAACTGAAAACAGATAATAAACTAAAAATTTTAACAACATGTATTTGCAGCGTGTTATTATATGCATCAGAGACATGGACTCTAAAAGAGGTCGACAAAAAGAAACTATTGGCATTCGAAATGAAATGTTACCGGCGAGTTCTAAGAATTAATTGGCGAGACATGATACAAATGAAGATATCAGAAAAAGTATATCGAAAGAAGAAACCATAATAGACACCATCAAGAAAAGAAAATTAAGATTATTTGGTCACATCTGCTGAATGGACGATAACAGACTGATCAAACGCGTAGTATTTTCAAAAACGAACGAGAAATCCTGAAGATGACGTCCATGCAGAGAGTGGCTGGATGACACAACAGAATGGTGTCAACGCAATGGACAAGACTTGTTCCACCCTGCACAAGACTGGCGGGCATGGAAGAATCTGATCCCGTAAGTAGTTGGCCCCATCGGGCGGTAAGCCTATGGGATATGATGATGATGATGATGAACATTATATCTATTTCATAGTTCACTTATTTACAAATATTTATATATAATATTTAAACACTTATTAAACAGTAACAAATCACTGAAATTTATCATTATTTGACGTTCTCATTTTCGAAGAAAATCTTTCTTATTCGAACATTTATTTATCTCTAAAGTTGATTGATATTGATAAAAAAAATATTTGAATAATGATTATATAAACATAGATAAATAAATTTGAGTCTATTCAATTATTTTTTTAAAGATAAATAGATATAAGAATTATTAAATGAATAATCAAGTTTAAAAATGTGTATAGGTCGAAATTAGTTTATAATAAAATAATTAAAAAACAATCTTCATTATTAAATAAATTATTGTTTATATTTCATCTAGTGTTCATCTCTAATATATATATAGTTTAATTATAATAAATTTTTAAAGAAACTCCTTTAAATAATATTTATTTAATAAATATGTTAATTAAATTAATATCATAAGATTATTTCTAACATTATAATCAATAATGGTCGGTGCTTCTGGAATTAATATACATTATATTGACAATTAATACTTTTGTTTGCTTATTTTATTTTTTTCTTTAAGAAAAAATAATTCCTGTTTGACATTATTTTTGATAAAAATATTCATAGAGAACTTATCGTAAGAAAAATTTGAAGAATAAATTCGAATTATTAAAATAATTCAATTGAGATAAAGTTAAGTAAATGGTAAAGAATTATTGTTAGTCGATAAGCAACAACCTCTTTTATATTATATTTTAATCGTAGAGGTCCTTAAATATCAATGACAAAGAATTGGTTTAGATTAGATTTAGTTGATAAATAAATAAATAAATAAAGATGACATACATATTCCAACAAGTGCGATAACAAACGAATCGTTTTTATTTAATCATATTATTTATTATCTTAAGAGATTATTTGTCTTTGACAAATATGAAATATTATCTTAATTAAAATCATAATTTGTCTCTTGTATAAAATAATTGAAAAATGATTCGATATATATTATTAATTTTTGTGTTTTTAATTATTATTTTAATTTAAAAAAAAAGAAATGATTTATCGAAATAATAAAATATCTTTTGGTTTTGTTTTGTTTTTTTTAAATATTTTTATACTGATTAGTTGTTTTTCATTGAATGTTATAAATGATTGATTATATATTATTTTATATTCAATTATTGAATTAATTAATTAATCAATTATTAAATAAATGCACAAGTTGAATATTTTTATATTCTATATTATTATTTGACAAGTTAGATTTATCTTAAGATATATCATTTAATTATAGATTGTTTTGTTTTTAGTTTTGTTGTTTCAATTAAGTAAACTATTTTATAGTTTACATATATCAA